AACTGAAATAACGGAAGGTGGTCAGGTGGTGGCATTCCCATTTTATTTGGGAGATTGAGAGGGAAACTGATGCAGGTCAAATAATGTGTCTAAGGTCTTAATTAGTGGTTGGAACCAAGATTAGGTCCCATAATTACTGGTTTTTAATCCATCATCATTTTCTTTGCCACACCATTATGCAAGGAATTAGTTAACCAAATATATTGTAGCCTGTTATGTACACAGTAGCGTGTTGGGTTTCTTGAAAGGATATAGAAGTAGAAATTAGGGTTTTCTTTTCTTCAGGAGATGGCAAATCATTAGAAGAGAAAAAATTATATCTATACTGTTAAATAATGGTACAAAGTAATATTTCCCCAGTAAATAATACAGCCACTGAATGCTTTAGACATTAAGAAAGAGACGTCAGCATGGTCCAGAGTGGTTTGTTGAAACTTCAGAAAGAGGGTTGAGCTCGAGCTGAACTTTGAAGGTTGGGTTAAGAGAGAAGTGGGTAGGCCGTTTCAGGTGGAGAAACATAACATTGGAGAAAGTATAGAAGAGGGAATAACCTTGACCCTTATTACATGAAGTGTGGCCCAGACCATCAGCCTTGACCTCACCAGAGCTTGTTAGAAAAGCAGGATCTCAGGTCTCATCCCGGCCTGCAGAGTCACACTCTGCACGTTAAAATTGGGAGGCGCTGATAGATGCTATTTGGATGGTGCTATGCGATTTACTGTGTGATGTTGGCTAAAGAAATATCCCTTTGACCTTCAGATTAGGTTAGTTAGATATGAATGAACTAGATAAGGATGTACTGCCAGTGTCCAGTCTTACTGGAAGAAAACATGAAGTTTAGAAAGGTTTTGATTTGCTGGAAGTTTACTAGAGCTGAGATTCAGACTCAGGTGTACAGATCCCATATGCTTTTCACAGCACACAGTGAAAAGTCCTGTTTGGGGAACTGAACAGGCTAGTACAGAAAGCCTGGATGCAGATAAGGTAGCCATCGGGTCATGTGGTGGATATCTGGATGCTAGGACAGCTATCATTTATCCATTAGTATGTTTTGACCAGAAGAGTTTCATGAAGAATGTCTCAGGGAGACTGATCTGGTGGCATCATGTGGATAAATCAGAGTCGGGGAAGAAATGGGACTTAGAGACATCTGTTATTCAGGGTGTAATTAAATTTTTTAAACACAAGAAATAGTATCAGTAAGTCACTCCACAGATACTTATTGAATACCCACTTTGTGCTGGGCCCTGGACATTTGGTGCTGCCTTCGTGATGTGGTCATACTCATGTGATGCTTTTGATTGAGTCAGTTAGATAACTGAGTGATGACAACAATGAAATCATCTTTGATCCCTCCCCCCAACTTTTTCTCTGAAAAAAGCTCTGGCCCCAAAGTTAGGTGGCTCCCAGTCTCATCCTGGCTTTGCCATTAGTGTTGTACGTTCCCTTGAACGATTCACTTAATCACTCTGTGGCTCATCTTTCCCACTTACAACATAAACATCATATTTACCATGACTTCACAGAACAAGATATTGTGATGAGATAATTTATGGGAGACATTTTTGGTTTCCTGAGTATTATAGAGGCTTATAATGCTGTTAGTATAAAATTACTTTTAAAGCATTCACTTTTGAAACTTAAAAAATTTCAGTCCCCCAGTGCATCTTAGTCACTTTTCTAATTATAATTACATTGAAGGGGAAAAAACAGTCCCGCCATCTGTGGCACTCGTTCTCCTTCCCTGGAGGTAGCACTAGAGAAGGTAATGATTTATTTGAGATGTTGTTGGTCCCACCCCGAAGGAGAATGGATGGTGGTTTCTCATTGTGGCTTTAAGACCCACCTGCTGATGGGTGCAATTCTCTAGACAAGGCTATGTAGTGACTGTGTGCACAGAGTCACAGCAGAGGGAAGAGAGGGAGAGAGTTTGTACTCTGGGGGAAGAAGCAAGATGAGAGCTCTGTGACATTGTCGCGGATGAAGAAGGCAAACCGAGAAAAACTGTTCCATATGCCTTGTATAGGTGGTGCATCCCCTTGACTAGCTAAGGGCTAAACCATCTTTGACTTCGTAGGACCATGTGACCCATGTATGTGGCTCTGGTGTAAAGTACCTAACAGTAATCTGTATGCAGAGTTTAAGCATCTCCTCTTTTACCTAATCCTCATGATGTCCCTTTCACCTTTCATAGTTAGCATGTATTATAGATGCCTGCCTACTCTCTCTTTTACCTTTAGCAAAACCAGGCATGGCCATTTGTGTCAAAGACAGAAAGGCTGACACCATATTATGGAGGCTGGCACAGCAAGGAAGAGCTGCATGTTTCCGACCCCTCTGGTGACACAAAGCCATGGCCCTGTGTATTCTGTGAGGTCCCTGTGTGTGTGTGCTCACATGGGGTGGGTAATGGAAACATTATGAGGGGTAGGAAGAGAGCAGAGAAAGTGAGAAAGGAGGAAAGTGCTTATTCAACCTACTGATTGCTAAGGATAATAGTGATTAATATAGATAATACTGATTAGCTAGGTTTCACTGCTCCCTGCGTTATAAATAAGGGTATATATCAGCACCACCTCTTTGTTTTTTAACTTTTTTCTGCACATTGTAGTTTCTTCCAAGAATGGTAGCCTCCACAGTGAAATACACCTCAGATTAGAGGACCTTTTGGAGCATTTCCTGTTTTACACAGAACATTGCTTATTCTAGAATAATACAGATAAAAATAAGATGCATTAACATATTTTCACCAGGCACTTAGAATGGTACCTGGCATATAGTTAGCACTAGAGAAGTGTTTGCTGTTATTATTAGTATTCTGTTATGGTCATTCATTCATCCATGGACTTGTTGAATGTGTGATATCGTCTATCTAGGCCCTGAGTTATTTGCTTTGGGAGCCTAAAGGTGAATCAGACACAGATCCTGCCCTCAGAGAGAGTATATTTCAATAGAAAAAAATAAGACAAGCAGATACATATAGTGCAGTGAAGAAAATGATGTGGGTTCTAAGAAAGGTCTAAATGGAACTTTTGGAGGTGAGTTCTGCAGGAGAGGGCTTCTGGAGGGGTTGGAGGGAAGGCAAGGTGGTAGGAGGTGGCAAGGAGGAGGGGGCATCTGAGTTACATCTTGGAGGATGGGAAAGGTTCAGACCTTCACGGCAGAAGAAAGTGCTTTCTAGGTGAAGTGAATGGTACGAACAAAAGCAGAAAAGAGCACGCTTAGAGAAAAAAATATAACTAGTTAGCTTTGCCAGATTGAAGGCTGTGCGTTTACTGGAACATGTGTTTTGCATCATCTCCTGAGTTTCCTTTTCCCCATTTTTTTGTTTTTCATTTCTTTACCCATGAATTAAATTTCAGCAGATTGTAATCAGGAAGGGCAGTTACTAAAATGGGTGCAAGTGGCTTTGTAATTATAGCCAAATGTGTAATCTACCTGTTCTTGTAATTATTAAGGTTTTCATTTTTGTAAGCTAATTGCCTCCTGTCCTGAAAACTTCCTTAATAGTATGCAAATAGGGGCCAGGAAGCAATATAAACCGAGAAACGTGTTTTCCTTTGCGTTTTACAGTAAATCACACACGCAGACTGACCTGTGGCAGCTTTGTGCATCTCCAGAGGCCCACAGTCATCCGACTCACAATAGATTGGGGCTGCCTTACAGCCTTGCAGCCTTGGCAGAGAGGGGAAAAATCACATCTTGGGTTTTACATTAGCTCTCTGTTATGACACACACAATGTCATGACTTCTTTTCTCTTTCCTTGTCAGTAATTCCATCATCTACTTGTGATAAATTACTCTGCTTTTGGTGCTTTAGCTTATCCCCTTAACAGCTGAATATGCCTCTCCAGGAGGGTGTGGAAGGAGCTGGGAGTTCCCTGACAGTGGAGATAATGCTGTGGGCAGGTCTCTCCATCCTTTCATGCAGCAGTCAACTCGTCCATCCAGTGGGGGTGTTACCATATGCTGTACCGAAATCACATGCTTTGTGTTTTTTAAACACTTACTCTGTTTAAAGCTATTTTAAGACATTAAGTTCTAAGTTAATAGTGATAATTTTTTTTAATTAAAAAATTTTTTTTGAATAGCAATTGCTTCAAATAAGATTGTCTCACTATGGAACAGACTATTTCTGTGTTTTCCTAATAAATTTTAAGCTTGAAATAATTATCCAAGGAGAGTTATATAAATGGATCTATAGCATTAAAACGCTGCACAGGGCTCAACAGCTTGTAAACCCAATTGTGAATTGCCAGAAAGCCCAAAACAGTCAGTGACAAATGTCGTATGTGCTCAATAAATATTCCTTGAATGAATGAATGAAATAATTTTTTCTTTAGGGGGAAACTATGTTTAGACTAAACAATGATTACTACAGCTAAAGGTTATAAAGTGGGTACCTATCCCTGGGATTTTGAATTTTTTACATCTTATAAGTTGTATACTATACTTTAGTACCTACTCAAGTGCATATAATGCTTCCCTGATTTAATAGAGCATCTGTCCTCCCCGTGTGTGTGTGTGTGTGTGTGTGTGTGTGTGTGTACAAACACCTACTCTTTTGGAAACATTTAATTATGCCACAACATGTTTTCTTGTTTAGATCATGAATTCAAGACCAAGATACTCCTGGGCCCTGGTGACTGCTTATCTGAACTGAGGTGTAGTGGTCAGGAGAAAAGAGATGGAATGTTAGTCTTCTAAATCAGAGCCAGTAATATCACCCCCTCCCCAACTCCCTGCCACTGCGGAACCATTTATGTGCCGTGTCCTCAGCATCAGATGTATCTCAAATGTAGAAGAAAATCCTCGGAGGAAGTAGAAGGTGCTTTACAGATGGGATTGCTGATGGCTCCATTAGTAGTAGATCAGGAAGCTTCCTTCTGTTTTTTTCCTTTGTTTCTGAAGGGTCTCATTTCTGTATCTCCTACAGACATAAAAGCGAGACCTGCTCTTTCAAGGTTTGTGAGCTTACTAATTGTGTTTCCTCTTTTCAGCTCTACGTGGCCACGGAGGCCATCCTCATTGCACTGGTCGGGGCCACACCATCGTACCACTGGGACCTGGCGGAGCTCCTGCCGAACCAGAGCCACAGCAACCGGTCGGCTGGTGAGGACCAGGCGCTCGGGGCCTGGCTCCTGACGGCCAACGGCAGCGAGATGCACAAGCACGTGCACTTCAGCAGCAGTTTCACCTCCATCGCCTCCGAGGTAATGGCAGGATCAGGGGACAGGCCTTTCTTACCACTGAATGATCCCCCTGGAGCCATTGTTTGGTCTTGTTGATTTAAATTTCAGCTCACCTTCCAATCACTTTCTAGTAAATTTGAGAGTTAAAGGAGAATATCCTATGGAAATACATTGTTCTTCCTTCTTACTGCAAATGGGAGAAGCATGAGTCCTACCAAACTAGTTATAGATGAAGTAAGACATAAACTCCAGAAGAGCCCCATTTTGATTAGTGTATCCTTTTAAAAAGTGAATTAGGGCTTGCCTGGTGGTGCAGTGGTTGAGAGTCTGCCTGCCGATGCAGGGGACACGGGTTCATGCCCCGGTCTGGGAAGATCCCACATGCCACGGAGCAGCTAGGCCCGTGAGCCATGGCCGCTGAGCCTGCGCGTCTGGAGCCTGTGCTCCGCAACGGGAGAGGCCACAGCAGGGAGAGGCACGTGTAACGCAAAAAAAAAAAAAAAAAAAAAAAGTGAATTAAAACTTTCATGTCTTTTTCTTTTTCTTTTTTTTTAAGTTAATTAATTTATTTATTCATTGATTTTTGGCTGCGTTGGGTTTTCGTTGCTGCATGTGGGCTTTCTTTAGTTGCTGCAAGCGTGGGCTACTCTTCATTGTGGTGGCTTCTCTTGCTGTGGATCACAGGTTCTAGGTGTGCGGGCTTCAGTAGTTGTGGCATGCAGGCTTAGTAGTTGTGGCTCACGGGCTCTAGAATGCAGGCTCCGTAGTTGTGGCACACGGGCTTAGTTGCTCCGTGGTGTGTGGGATCTTCCCAGACCAGGGCTTGAACCCGTGTCCCCTGCATTAGCAGGCGGAGTCTTAACCACTGGCCACCAGGGAAGTCCCCATGTCTTTTTCTTATATCCTCAAAAATTAACAAAGTAAAGAGACGGAAAATGTAATGGCTCATCTATAACATCCACAGTTGATGTTTAAGTCCAGTCCTGTGTGTAGACTGCATGGGGCACCTTGACTGTACAACATAAAATACAAATGGTACTGCCCAGTGTGGGTAGAAAGCCTTACCTTCAAGGGGACTTTCCTGGCCAAGAAGGTTCTGGTAAGGAGAGCACCGTCTGGGCCAGCCTGAGTTATATAAGCTGAGGATAGATAGTCTGGTTAAGAGAAACCCTGGGATAAGAGGTGCAGGGCCCAGGCACAGCTGGAAAGCACAGGTCCTGGTTGTTAAAGTGTTGAAATACTGTGTGTCCTTTGCCTGCTCTCCACAAGCTATCCATTTGCACACTGACACCCTAGCCCAGTGGCATTTTCATGACAACGATCCAGTCCTGTCATCCCTCACCCAAAAACCTCCAGTGGTTCTCCCACCACACCCAGAAAACAGTGAAACCCTACATGTTACATTCAAAGCCCTTCACCCTCCCCAGCTTGGTCCCAGGTGTACTTTCCAGCCCCATTCTACACTTCTCTCTGCCTCCCCTGCTTCCCACGTGCCCTGAGCCCTCAGCCCATACCTGTTACCTGCGTCAGGATGGCCCCAAACACTCACCCTCGCCTCTGCCTGGTGAAATCCTAACCTACCCTCTACTGCTCACTTGACCATTACCTTCCCTGAGAAGTCTTTCCTGACCCACTCCCCAGAAGAAGTAAATACACTTTTGTTTCTGCTCCAGCAACAGTTTGTTTGCACTTATGTGACACACTGTAGTTTGTCAGGAACCATAGTTTGGTCGTCTTTGTATTTCCATGGCTTTCTGGCCACCACCACAATAACTACCATCACAAGTATCACTACTACTCAGCTATAAAAATAATAAATAGCATTGTGGAATGATGACTATATGCCAGACATTGTAATATTTTACAGCCCTTATTTCATTTAATCCTCAAAATAATTTTATGAGGTAAGCATTATTTTCTGCATTTTATAGATGAAGAAATTGAGACTTCTTGAGGTCAGCTAATAAGGGCAGAGCTAGGATTTAAACCCAAATTTGTCTTAACTCAGAAGCCTATGCTCTTATTATCGTACTTTTTAGGGACCTATCCCATCTAAATTGGTATGCACATCTCTTAGTTCTTTTTTTTTTTGCGGTACGCGGGCCTCCCACTGCTGTGACCTCTCCCGTTGCAGAGCACAGGCTCTGGACGCGCAGGCTCAGTGGCCATGGCTCACGGGCCCAGCCGCTCCGCGGCATGTGGGATCCTCCCGGACCAGGGCACGAACCCGTGTCCCCTGCATCGGCACGCGGACTCTCAACCACTGCACCACCAGGGAAGCCCTCTTAGTTCTTTTTGATAGGTTAACAAAAGCCAAAGAACTTTAAAAGTTATTTTATTTGGAAATAATTTCAAACTGACAGAAATTGCAAGAATAGTTCAAAGAATACCCTTATATCCTTTAGTTTCATCTGTTGGTAGTATTTTTCCTCACTGGTGTTACTGTCCTTCTCAGTTTTTTAAAGCCATTTGAAAGTTGCACATACTGCTGTTCTTTTATACCCAAAAAGTTCAGTGTGTATTTCCTAAAAATAAGAACATTCTCTTACATAACCACAGTACAATTATCAACTTAAAGAAATTTAACATCGATGCTGCAGTTTTATCAGATCTACTATCCACACCCAGTTTTGCCACTTGACCCAGTAATGTCCTTGATAGCAGTGGTTTTCCCCTCTTGCATTGAATTCAGTTTAGGATCACACATTGCATATAGTTGTCATGGCTTTTTAGTATCTTTTCACCTTCAGCCTTTCTGTTTCTTTTATGATATTATACTTTTGAAGAATGTATAATCTCTCCCTTTTTAAAAATATCAGTGTTCTCCATTTTGGGTCTGTCTGATGATTCCTCATTCAGGTTATGCATCCACAGTCAGACTAGTACACAAGTAATGTTGTGTCCTTGGAGGATCACACGGGAGACACACAATATTCATCTGCCCTTTTTGGGTGATGTTAATTTGACCATCCAGGTATTGCCTGATTTCTCCCCTGTACAGTTTTCTTTTTTTCTTTTCATTTCAAGAAATGAGTAATCTATGTGGAGTCAAGTCACTTTAAGATTATGCTAAATTACTATTCCTTATCAGAAACCCCTCCCTTGAATTTAGCATCCTTTGATGATTTTTTCATAAACCAAGCTAGACTATGATGGTTACAAAATGATGAATTCTTAACTCTAGTGCTTCCTCTACATTCGCCAGTTGGGCTTTTTTTTTTTTAATTTAGGTATAATTGACATATAACATTATAGTAGTTTCAGTTGTACAACATAATGATTTGCTATTTCTATCACTGTGAAAAAAATCACCATGACAAGTCTAGTTAACATTCCTCACCATACGTGGTTACAAATTTTTTTTTTCCTTCTGATGAGAACTTTTAAGATCTCTTCTCTTTGGAACTTTCAGATGTGCAATACAGTATTAACTGTGGTCACCCTGCTGTACATAACATCCCTGTGACTTATTTATTTTATAACTGGAAGTTTGTACCTTTTGACCCCCTTCACTCATTTCAGCTATCCCCTCACCTCTTGCCTCTGGCAACTACAGTCTGTTCTTTATATGTCAGAGCTTGGGTTCATTTTTTGTTTTTTGTCTTTTTAGATTTTGCTGTAAGCAACAGCCCTTTCTTCTTCCTTGTCCATCTGTCTGCCTGTCTGTCTCTATCTCTTCCTCTTCATCTCCCTCTTCTTTTCTCTCTCTCTCTATCTCTCCATCTCTCTGTCTCTCTGTCTCTCTGTCATTAGTATGTACTAGTGGATTCCTAGTCTTTTCAATTATTTATAATTTATTACAGCTTTTAATTATTTTGGTGCTCAAATTATCCCCAGTTTGCCAGTGGGAACCTCTTCAAGCTGGCTCTTGTCTCCTTTTTTTTAATTAAAGTTTTTATTTTGAGATAATTGTAGATTTACATGCAGTTGCAAGAAATAATACAGATAAATTCTGTGAATGCTTTGCCCAGTTTTTCCCAACGGTAGCAGCTTGTAAAATCATAATATACTATCACAGCCAGGATAACGATATTGATACAGCTAAGACACAGAACATTTCCATCACCACAAGGATCTGTTACCATATATATTTATATATAGCCACACCCACTTTCCTCCCTCCCCAGCACTAATTTCCCTGGTAACCACTAATCTTTTCTCCTATACTTTAATTTCATCATTTCAAGAATATTATAAAAATGGAATCATACATGTAGCCTTTTGGGATCAGCGCTTTTTTTTTTCACTCAGCATAATTCTCTACAGACTCATCTAGGTTTAATTATATTACTTTAGTTATACAATAAGTCTTATGTACAGGTAGATTGGTTCCTCTCACTTTATTCCTTGTCAAGATTGTTTTAGTTCCTTTGGCTTTTCATACAGAATTGGTGTTAGTCCTTTAAACATTTGGGAGAATTCTCCAATAAAATCATCTGGGTCTTTAGTTTTCTTTTTTGGGAGTTTTAAAATTATGAATTCAATTTCCTCAAAAGTTATAAGACTATTTAAATGAGCTCTATTGTGTTGTGAGTTGGGGCAGTTTGTGATTTTCAGAGAATTGGTCCATTTCATCTAAGTTTTCAAAAATATGTGTGTAGCGTTGTTCATTGTATTACTTTATTATCCTTTTGACATCTGCAGAGCCTGAAATGATATCCCCTTTTATTACCTGATATTGGTGATTTGTGTCCTTTCATATGTAGTTACTCATCTGTCCTGATAGAGTTTTGTCAATTTTACGGTTCTTTTTAAAGAACCAACCTTCTGTTTCATTGAGCGATCAAGCATAATTTAGAAAACTCAAGAGGAGAAGCAAAGTCTGTTGTATTTACATTGTTCTTTCTTCCTTCCTGATATTCCAAAGTCCCTTCTTTTATGTTTTCTTTCTTTTTAGAGAACTTTCATTAGCCATTGTTTTAGGGTAGTTCTGATGGCGACAAATTCTTTTAGTTTACCTTTATCTGAGAATATCTTGGTTTCCCCTTCATCTCTTGTTTTCACTAGTTATAAAATTCTTG